GGCGGGCGGCGCGGCGGGGTCGTCCGCTGCATCTGGAATTGCTGCCGCAGCTTGAGGCGTTTCAGGATCAGGTTGCCGTTGTAGGCAACGCTGTGGTCTTGCCATAGGTGGCAAAGTTGGAGCCTGCCAGGCGGCAAGCCGGGCGCTGTGACTTTGGGCAACAATGCCCAGTGCGTCGACCCAGTAGAGGTAGCGGCTCCGGTCCGGGACAAAAAGCTGTTGGCCAGGCGGACTTTGCAGGCGTCGCTCTGCAGGTGCAGCGACTCAAGATGGTTACGGGGTCTCAAGCCACCTGGTCGTCAGTTTATTTTTGCGCTTTGCGTTGCTAGGTTCGCCGAACTTCCGCGCGTTTCGTTTTCTGCAGGACCGTCTTGAAACGGGTCGCACGCTGCAGATCTTAGCAAGTCGCAATGCAGGCTTTCGATTTTTCGCGTTTGACGGTCTTGTTCCGGTAGCGTCCAGTAGTAAGGAAAGTCTGCTTATAGTAACTTATCTTTTTGGCTTTTTTGGCCAAAAAACGCTCCAAAACAGCCAAATTTCCAAACAGCTGAACGTTTTTCCGATGTCACCGGTCTTTGTCACCACTCCGTTTTTGGTGCAAAAAGCGCTCAAAACGGTCAACTCCGAAAAGTTCGTTTTTTCGTGGCAGACGTCGAAAGTGGTCGCTCGTTTTCCGAAAACCGGCTCCAGACGTTCGCCGTGCTCCGAATTCCGTTTTCTACGAAAAGCCTGCGAATTCCAGCCCGCCGAGCTTGTCACCGCTGGTGGTTGTTGCAGGTTGGGCTGATTGGCTGGCTGGCTGGCTGGCCGGTCCGTCGGTCGGTCGGTCAATGGGTTGGCTGCTTGGTTGGTTGGTCTTGTCGGTTGAAGGCTGTTTCTTGGTTGGTTGACTGTGATTGGGCGGGAGTGAAAACTGGCTGTCCCAGGCTGTGGTTGAGGCATGGCCGCAAGCCAAATGTTTGAAGCATGTTTTGTGTTGTTGCTGATGATTTTAAAGGCGCTCTGGGGCGTTTGAGGCAGCTTTGAGGCGGTTTTGTTCATGATTTTCACTGGTTTGAGGTTGTCTGTTGTGTTTGCAGTGTTTGAGGCTGCGTGGCCGCATTCTGATAAGTTTGAGTGAAGGTTTAAAGTGCTTTCCACTGACGCTGGTTTTGATGCCTTGGGACTCTTGTTCATGTTTTGTGTAGCTACCGTTTTAAGGCCGAGGTTAAGGCGCTTTTGCTTTGTCCGTGCTCTGGGGTGTTTCATGAGGCTGCTTTGAGGTGGCTTTGTTCGTGATTTTCAATGGCTTGAGGCCAGTTTGAGGCAGGTTTGTGCCTGCGCTCCGTCGGCCGCGCTGCGGAAACGGCCCGTGATGGAGGGCGGGCCCTGTCCGTTGTGTGTCAGCCTTGGGGTCTCCTGCAAGGTCGTCCTTGCCGAAGCGGTTTCCTCCGCGGCCTTGGCGCATCCGGGCCAAGTCCTCGTCTGTGGCCTCTGCGGGAGTGCGGAAGCCTTCCTCTGGAATTGCCCTCAGGGGCGTGTGCTGCAGAGGCTGCGGGTTGGGGTTCTCGCTGGACTGCACGAAGTCGTCCAAGTAGAAGTGGCTCGTGATGAAGCTCCGTCAGCCGGCTCACGTCGTCCAGGTGCCGCTGCCCCTCCTGGGCCAGCCTGCGCTCCCCCAGCCAGCTGTTGAAGGCCCACGCCTCCTCCAGTTCTCGCTGACGCTTCAGCGGCTGCAGGTCATAACTGGAACAAGTCTTGCGGAACCACCGGAGCATCTGCGGCTCGTTGCGGGGCTCTATGGACATCATCTCGCTTTATACCAGTACGCTAGCGCCCGCCGTCAGCCGGTCGCAAGCCGACTGCCTCTCCAGCATGCGCGTGGCGCGCTCGCTCGGCCGAGGCGCTTCTACAGGCTCGGGCCGTACCTCGCTGTGTGCCTCGGCCCGTACCTCGCTGTGTACCTCGGGCTGCACCTCGGGCTCTAACTGTGCCTCGGGCTCTTTGGGCGCTGCCTTGGGCCAATGTCCAGCCCCGAGCCAGTGGGTGCTGCGAGTATCACGCGCTTGATCTGCCCTTTGTTTCAGCATGTGCACTTCCCCAACAGCCTTCTGAAGACAGGAAAAGAGAAATGAGTTATCAAGACCGGATTGTCTAAGTTTTGAATTTTGGCATTTTGATATACGCATAAGGTTGAGTATATATCTACGACTCGGACGTGGTGCGTCTGAGTTGAGCTGGAGTGGCTGCGCCTGTTTGTTTGATTCGTGTGCCGCAAAGCCCGCTTGTGAAAATAAGTGGTCAATCCCGCAGGGATGATCGCCTTATTTTCTGAAAGAAGGGTTTTGCTTCGGGTTTGTTTGTGGTTTCCCCCCTCGATTTGTTCGGGAGCGCTGCAGCCACAAACAACCGCACACTTGAGCAGACACCCGCTCGGCAAGCATCCCGTAGGTGCTGGCTCTGAAGGGCAGCAGCAGCGGGTTCCCCTCTTTGTTCTGGGCCCGTCCTTGAACTTTCCCGCCCACCCAAATGCCCTTCAAGTTCGGGGGTAGTTTCGGGCGCACGGCTGAAGACAGGAGAAGAGAAATGAGCTATCGAGACCACATTGTCTAAGTTTTGAATTTTGGCATTTTGATATATGCATAAGGTTAAGTATATATCTACGACTCGGACGTGGTGCGTCTGAGTTGAGCTGGAGTGGCTGCGCCTGTTTGTTTGATTCGTGTGCCGCAAAGCCCGCTTGTGAAAATAAAGACCCCTAATCGGTCGGATGATTGAGGACGCTTGCCTCATCATCGCACGCAAGCTGCACGCGTTGTCACCCTTTTGCACTTCACACCCGAAGGGTAACACACCCTGTGAACAGGTTGAACGCGTTGTTAACGTGGGGGCATTTGAGCAGGCTCCACACGGGGGTGCAGACACAGGGAAAGGACACGCATTGTCTTTCCTCCTGCACCCCCGAGCCTTGACTTCCAAGCAACGCCGCATAAAGAAAAAGTGCGGAGCGCGCCTTTTGTCGGTCGTACTCTTTTGTCTTTTTATGCATGTTCCCTTACGGCTTGAAGCAGCGATCTAGATTCTAACAAACTGGTTTTCTAACTTATTGACACCGACATGACAAACCCCAATGATTTTGATGGTGAGCATTGTACTGTTGATGACACTCCAAGTGCTGGGACGCTTTTGGCGCCACCAAGAGAGTGAGCGTGAATTTTTCAAGATGACGGCGAGCGCAAATTGCAGCATTCAGCGCAAGCCAGGTACAAATAGACATAGCTCGAGCCATGACGCAAAGTAGAGAACGCATGCAATGCCCCCACGTCCGCAATAAACCGTTATTGACACGCACAGACTTTTGTTTATGATGGTTTCACCCCATGAGGTTTGCTTGCATGTTCCCGACAAAATTGGTACAGTCACCTACACCTGATGGGTCAAGCTATAGTACTATACTTTTGCGGACTAGTGTCAGAATACCCTTGTCCGCCAGCCAGCCTGGCATGCTGGCCTTGGCAACAAGCGAAGCATCCCCACTCACTTGCTGATGCAATGGTAGTGATGTTTCAAATAGCTTGGCGCCTTGACAAAACTTGAGCTACAATGGTTGTGACCAGCCAACAATCGAAATTGAATGGGAAGATGAGTTGATTAATGCATTTAACTATTGTACGCATGTTGTTAAGTTTGCGTGTCTGTGATCAATTGTGTTCGTGTGTACGTGCTTTTGTTAATGTTTGCAAGACATTTAGTCACCACGGCCGTGAGGCGGCTGGTTGAACATACTTGCATGTCTACAATGGGCGTTGAACCGTAGGTTAGGTAAAATGCTAAACACCGAAACTTTGCCAGAATTTTCAACGCCTTCGCGTTGCATGCTTGTTTTGCTGTTGTTGTTGTTGTTGTTGTTGTTGTTGTTGTTGTTGTTGTTGTTGTTGTTGTTGTTGTTGTTGTTGTCGTCGTCGTCGTCGTCGTCGTCGTCGTCGTCGTCGTCGTCGTCGTCGTTGTCGTTGTCGTTGTCGTTGTCGTTGTCGTTGTCGTTGTCGTTGTCGTTGTCGTTGTCGTGGTCGTGGTCGTGGTCGTGGTCGTGGTCGTGGTCGTGGTCGTGGTCGTGGTCGTGGTCGTGGGTCGTGGTCTTCGTCTTCGTCTTCGTCTTCGTCTTCGTCTTCGTCTTCGTCTTCGTCTTCGTCTTCGTCTTCGTCTTCGTCTTCGTCTTCGTCTTCGTCTTCGTCTTCGTCTTCGTCTTCGTCTTCGTCTTCGTCTTCGTCTTCGTCTTCGTCTTCGTCTTCGTCTTCGTCTTCGTCTTCGTCTTCGTCTTCGTCTTCGTCTTCGTCTTCGTCTTCGTCTTCGTCTTCGTCTTCGTCTTCGTCGTCGTCGTCGTCGTCGTTGTCGTTGTCGTTGTCGTTGTCATTGTCGTTGTCGTTGTCGTTGTGTTTTTTCTGGAGTGGAGTCCAGAAAAAACCGCTCCTTAGTGATAGAACGGGCAAATATTTTTGGCATGCCCAGTTTTTGAAAGACACCAAGCGTGGATGTTGCTACTCCATGAAAGTCCAACAATTTGCAAGCTTTATGAGTACTAATCCGCTCGGACATGGGATGCCAATTTTGGCCGCTCATTTGTCCAATGGTGTGCCAACAGCACCTATTGGCTGGGTATGCCGGTACCTAAGTGTTACTGACCACAAGGAGCCACTTGTGGAGTTGGAGTGCTTTTGGATGCACCCACATGCCTTTCTGCGCGGTTGCAACGTTCAGCTTGCGGCTCAAAGTGTTAGCCGGATATGAGCATGGGCTCCTAAGTGCAGGCAGCAACGAATTGTGAAGATGTTCGTTCAGGGCATCTTCCATTCACCGACCAATGCTAAACATGTTTTGTGTTTTGTTGTGTTCTTTGCATTTCGCCGTTGGTCTCACCACCAGCATAAAACGCATTCGTCTGTTTGTACCCTATGGGGCAAGCCACGCTCTTTGGCTCAGAGTTTGGACCTCGAGAGCCATGCCGAACGCGGCGTTCGAGCGGCATGGCGCGGCTCTTGTTGCTGTTGCACGGGCTTCTGCCTTCGGATGCAGGGACACTTGGCTGACGGATCAGCATTTAGCACGTCTTCAAATGGACGAGGTCGGTTTTTCTGGCAGGGACCCAAGACGAAAGCAACGTTTGAAGGCTTTGGTGCAATTCAGATGAAACGAGAAAGAACCATTTCTGGTTTGAGACGCATGGCTGCATAGTTGCCCGTTCTTTTTGCGTCATGTTTTGTTGGTTGCTTGGTTGTTTGCTTCTTTGCTTCTTTGCTTCTTTGCTTCTTTGCTTCTTTGCTTCTTTGCTTCTTTGTTTTTTTGCTCTTTTGCTCTTTTGCTTCTTTGCTTCTTTGCTTCTTTTTTTGCTTACTTACCTTTCTTTGCTTTTACTTTTGCTTTTGCTTTTGCTTGCCTGTTTGCTTGCTTGCTTGCTAGCTTGCTTGCTTGCTTGCTTGCTTGCTTGCTTGCTTGCTTGCTCGCCTGTTTGTTTGGTTTTTCTTGCTGTCAGAACACATGCTTCCCCGAACGGTGATAGACATTGTTGAGCTTGTTTGTTTGCAGACTAGTTGATAGAGGGTCAACATGATTTGGCGTGTCCGGGGGCAAAGTCTTGGCATTCAAAAATGAGGGCGCAAGAGCGCCGGCCTTTTTTGACAACGACGACTGACGCAATGCACAACACAATGTGGTTTTTCTGGGCCATGAGTTGTGAACGTAAGGCATTTGCCAGGAACTGTGAGTTTAAAAACCAATTTACTCATGTCCTCTTGGGGAAACTAGCAATTTTGCTCGAGCCTCGTCCAAACTTGAAACCTGAAACTGCCCAAACTTACAAAAAGTCAATCTGGGACGTCCGCTGGCGTGAAGCTTTTGTGACCCACATGGTTTTTTCGCCGACTCGGGTTTGAGGATCTATCGTCACGAGCTGGTGGACGGGGAAGTTCGCGAGGAGTGGGTCCCGCACGAAGTGTGAGTGGGCGGGCCAATATAGGTGTTTCTTGAAGCATGGGTTTTGTACCAGCTGATTTTTCCGTGTGGTTAGTGGGAGTTTACCATAGACAGGTGGGGCGATTGGATTCCTTGGAGCCAAACAGCCTTCTTTGGTGAATCTTTGACAGGGGTCTGGTGGCTGAAAGCAAGGTTTCCCAACGCCTGTCCAAGATAGCCCACCGGGCGACCACGTTTTAGGGAAGCCTAGGTGAAGATGTCTAAGCAGTCGTGGTTCTATGTTGGCAACTGACTGCATTCATTGTAGTCTAGGTTTGGCTCGCGAAACACCCAATGCTCACATGGATATTTCCACCAGAACAACTCCACGTCGAAACTCAGTTCGGATCCATCCTTCCTTGCGACTTTGGGAATGCGAGTCTCAGATTGAAGATGGTGCGATTTTTTTCGGCCGCAGACCTGAGAAATGGCTTCAGCAGGTTCTACCTTTGATTGGTTTTTGGTGCGGTCTCAGCATATGCCATCTTGGTAGAACCAGTCGGGTGAGGGCCTGGCCTCAGGCAGAGCTACAGTTCCATGGCAAGGCCACTGAGTTGGCTGATGCGAGATGCTCTCTCCCAGGTGTCTTGCAGCTCCTTGGATGACTGCTTCGAGAAGGGCATCATGACGCGCGCGGGAGGGTTGCGGGAGAAATTGGGGTCCGTTTTGCTTAACACCCCAATGAGGTTAGCCTTTTTACTAATCAGGTCGGTGCCATGAGATCTCGCAAGAGCAAAAACACTCAAACCGTGGAAAAGGTCAAAATCTGTGCGGTCATATTTCCAATCTTGTGACTGCTTGTACCGCAGACCAGTGCCTTCCTTTTGTGATTTTGTTCAAGCGGCCCAGTGTCTGAAGAAATTGTGTTTTCGCGTGATTGGCTGGCAACATGCTTGGTAGCGCCCAAATTTCTCACAAAAATGCTAAACAAATCCAAAATGGGTGCCCCTTGGAAAAGAGACTCGCCCGACGTTTGTGATCTTGTGCAGGGCTATCGGCGGAGCTCTTTCCAGCTTGCTTTCAAAGGAACCAGCAACAAAGCCACCATGTTTTGGTTCCCTATTTTGAGGCAGACACATTTGCAGGCCTTCTCAATGCGCCAAAAAACTGTTGGATTTGAGTCCGAACTCAAGTCTGGGAAAGAGGCTAGAGGGCAACCAGAGGTTCGGCCAAGCGACTTTCCGAGCGCTGAGGTTGAGTTGGGGATCAGTTTCAACCAGACATAGGCGCCACCCTTCTGATCCTTTACAGTTTGTGCAGGCCTCTTTTGATACCAAGGCATTTTCCTTTTTGCCTACTCTCATTCATGATAGTCATGATACCTTTGGTTTCCGTCAGGACCTATTCCGAAATGCAATCAGTTTTGCTTATGCAATCAAGTTGGATTGGCTTGGGTGAATGGGCCTCTCAAGGAAAATGCAGCTCCAAACCGGGCCGATCTTGCTCCGTCTCGAGGCCTGGCATGATGCTGCACCGCATGTGGGCCTGAGCCCCAATGTTTGGAGCCCGAAGCCAAGGGAAACCCAGGTTTGGTTTAGACTCGAACACCTTCCCATGCTCAAGGCACGAGCCTTCGAATCGATCCGCAGGTGCCATCGTCATTGTGACCCTAGGCTAAGAAGAAACGTCAAGAGCCTTTCACAGGGGAAACAAAGAAACAGATCACAGGGATGCCTTTTTTAAGGGAATCATGACGGCCCACAGATCCGGAGATTTGACCATCACCTGAATATGGCTACCCTTCTTTGGGTTGGGCTCACAAGAACTGAGTTGTCACATGACCGAAAACCCGCAAAAGGAAAGCACTATAAAATCAAAGCAATTGCTTTGGTTCAAAGAGAGGCCGATGGGACACCAGTCCCCCCCCAAATCGCTCGCCTTCAGGCGCAGAAGATCGTCCAGCCGGCAAAGAGTTTGCCGGCTCGCGCTCGCTCGGCACGTGATACTGGGATGGGTCAAAATTAGTGCAAACCAGGAGACCGCAGGTTAAATCGTCCATTTTGTGGGACACAGTCCCAACGAGAATCAGATGCGGATATCAGGGTTTTGAACTGTTGCATAGGGTTGGACTGCTTTAATATCAAACTTTGCTTGGACTCAAGTTGAGTTTACCCTATAGTTGGTTTCTTTTCCAGCATCTCTCTTTTTTTGCCAGACAGATGGCCTGCAACGAGCGCTCCCGATTTGCCGCCTTGTCAGACTTGCATATGCCGCAACCCCAAAACCAAGTATGGGGTAGCCACCATGTTGCCGCTATATATGCAAGGTAGATGTAAAAACAACATCCCTGCACATATATAGAGCACAAATAAATAAATAAAAAATAAATAAATAAATAATTAAATAAATACACATATATATATAATATGACCCCCTCGAAGGGCGGAAAGTCTTTCCGTTCCGCCAGGAGTTTGCCATGGGAAAGCGGCCCTTCGAGCTGAAGACCAACACCTCGTGGCTCTTGGCACGGCAGCGTCAGGCGCGCCGTGGCCGAGACCGAGCCGAGGCATAGATCGAGGTACACATGGGGGGTTGTCAACATGGGAATGCCCTTTTTGGGGCCCTGGTTTACATGGAAAAACGGGGATTCATTTTTTTTTTTTGACATGATGCATATTTGTCGTGAAAGGCTCCCCCAGTTTTGACCATGGTAGACTTTTCCAATGTGGAATTATCATTGTTTTTAGTGGTTTCCCCACCAATGGTCATCCCATGTTCATCGGACCTTTGATCAACCCCCACATGCACACACACACACACAGCACACATTCCAACGACATCATTGGTCTTACCCTTGAAAGCGAAGATTTCAAGAGCTCTTAGGAGCTTCCATTTTAGACTGAGGTTGAACACTCTTTTAGCATGGCTAGTTTTGTTGGATCGAAGTCATTGAATTCTCCTCTTACCAACAGGCGATTGGTGCGTATCTTAGATCCTTAATATTTTTTGTTCTTTCCAGAAGGTGCTCGATATGCTTCTGAAAGCCCCACTTGAGTGCCCGAAACACTCATTGCCCATTTATGAGCCTGTATCATCTTGGTACCCCACCAATATCTTCTGACCAATATAGTTTTAAAGTTGAATCAGACCAAGATCAAGAGTACAACCAAGATGGTCGAACCGTTGCTCCCACCAGAAGGAACCCCAACGGAATTGTAGCCCCTGCTTTTGCATTCTAGCCTCGTGTTTGCTTTAAACGGTGTGGCATGCCACCGTTTCACCCAAGTGTAAGCACGGGTTCCCGTGATGCCGACTTCGGACGTGGGGGATTGGCTCCTCATCCGCCGGCTCGAGGTGCGCCGCACCCTGCGGCGCCTGCTGCGGGCGCACCCGCCCCAACAGGCCCCGCCGCTGCGCCTGGCCGGGCCCTCGAAATCGGAGAGGTTCGGCTGGCTGGGTTGAGGTATTCGAAGGAAGCGAAGCCCAAGTGGCCCCAGTTTTGGCGGGAACCACTTGGGAGTCCAGTGTGTGTGTGTGGTTTGGACCCCACAAATAGTGATTTTTCTTTTGGTTTCCAAAGTTCAGGGTCTCAAGATTACTTTGCAAACCCGGAGCGAGGTTTGGATTTGAACCACCATTTTGAGGGACTGGATGTCCCTGTACCCGGTTTCTTCATGGAAGTCATGAAGATGGCCAGGAAACGCGGCACAGGTATTCTGCGGTTCAGATCCAAGTTCAAAGCAGACAAATGGGTCCCAGGTTTGGTCGGTTGGTCTTTGGAATCGGCTGGTTTTGCGGCTTTCCTCGGGTTTTGGTTGGGTTTTCCGCCAAGATGAGTTTATGGCATCCTTTCATGTTGCCAGGAAGCCTGGGAAGACCATGTTCCTCTAAAGCGGACGCTGTGGGTTCCATGGCAATGTGGTATCCCCGGAAAAGGGTTGCCAAAATCCGCGGACGGTCATTTAATCACCTGAGCCCCAGGTGCGACGCTACCAGGCGGGCTGCCCAATTCGAGCTGCTCTTAAATATATAGAAAGACGAGCACGGGTTAGAACATCGGAGAGCTTTCTTCGGTGTCCCTTCCAGGCAAAACAATGTACCAACTTGTGCCGATCCATTCGGTCGAATGGGAGACCCTCAGTTTTGCGTCGACGGACCTTGAGCGGTGGTTTTTCCGACTTCCTTGTTGTTTAAAAGTTTCAGGGGAGCCCCTGCAAGAGAGTTTCTACATGGGGTTTCCAACAAGAGGGGGAGGCCCTGCTTTGGATGGCCCCTTTCGTGTCTTTGCTTGGACACACCTATTCTTCCATCCACTAGCATGGCACCTGACAGGTGTTCCTCTGGGACATTCGTCTTTCGGACCCTCGCAGGTGCTATGTTGGAGGGATGGTACACGAGTAGGTTATCTCTTCATCCCAAGGGTGCCGAACGGCAAAAACTTGATCCCGCAAAGGAGCGCACCCAAAATCAGCTTTCGCGGCTTATCAGGGAATCCCCGATACTCTTAGATCACATACCCAGCCAGTTTTTTTTTTTCAGGAGTTTTGATAGGGTGGTTCCATAAGTTAGCTTGAGGAGAATGAGACTGAGTATGAGCTCATCCAAGTCTCGTGGCTTCCGTCGGATGGGCGTGTGTTTCTTGAGTCCCATTTTTTGTGTCCAATGCAGAACGTGTATTTGACATGGGGGGCTTCTCCTAAGTTTTCAAGGTTCCCTTTTGGTTTTCCCGCAGCATGAGTAGCTGACAAGAGTACCACATCACATCGATGGGGCCCACCAGAAAAACGCTACCCATACCTGCAAACCCAAGCGCCATTTCGAGATCTTTTAAATCAACCTCACGTGCTTCAAAGGATTCGTTTTTTTTTTTTTTCCCCCTCTTTTTTTCCTCCAGCTGGCATTTGGGTGACGTGTTTGACTCGCCCTGTGTGTGTGTCTGTTTTTGAGGCGTGTTTGATTCGCCCCGTATGTGTGTCTGTTGGAAACGGGTACTCGTTTCCAGGTTGGTTGAAAGGATGAAGATTAGTAAGGGGCAGTCCCAGCCATACATAGCTGCGGATATCCGCCTTCTTAATTCGTGAAGCATGGTTCTGGGATTATGACCATTTTAATACCGGGACTCACAAGGGACCAATCTTACCGTCCCCCCATAGGGCTCACCATTTTTGGTACCAGGTCTTGGATTTTTAACATCGGGTTTCGAGAAAAATGCTTCGCTTTTTGCCAGGACGCTGCACGGGGCGTCACGGTGCTCATGCTGCTCTTCGAGTCCTGGCAGGGCCAGGCGGACCGAGCCTCTTTTCGGGACGGAGAGAGAGCCCGTTTTGAGTTTTTTTTTTTTTTGAGTTGACATTTTTTTCCCGTTGACATCGTTTTTGTTTGTTGTTTTCAATTTGAAGTTTTTTTGTTTTTGTTTTTAACGTTGACATTGTTTGTTTTTTGGAGTTGACCTCGTTTTTTTTTTTTTTTTTTTTTTTTTTTCTTTTTTTTTTCTCCCCTTTTTTTTGTTGACATCATTTTTTTGGAGTTGACATTGTTTTTGTTTGTGTTTTGTTTTTTCTTGAGTTGACATCTTTTTTTTCTTATTAAATTGTTTTTGTTGAGTTGACATTGTTTTTTTTTGAGTTGACGTTGTTTTTGTTTTTGAGCTGACATCGTTTTTGTTAGCTTTTTTTGGAGTTGACATTGTTTTTGTTTGTTTTTTGGAGTTGACATCGTTCTTGTTTGTTTGTTCTTAGTTGACATCTTTTTTTTTGAGTTGAGATCGTTTTTTTTTGGACATAGTTTTTTTTGGTTTATTGGAGTTGACATCGTTTTTGTTTCTTTTTGAGTTGACATCGTTTTTGTTTGCTTTTTTTGGAGTTGACATCGTTCTTTTTGTCTCCTCTTTTTTGAGTTGACATTTTTTTTTGGAGTTGACATCGTTTTTGTTAGTTCTTTTTGGAGTTGACATCGTTTTTGTTTGGCTTTTATTGGTTCACGTCGTTTTTTGTTTGCTTTTTTGGGGTTGACATCGTTTTTGATTGCGTTTTGTTGAGTTGAACCCCCTTATTTGGCAATTTCGAAACGGACGCTTCAAGGTTCCTTGTAACCTGATCGAGTAATTTCTCACGGATCCGGAGGAGCAACTTGTTTCTGATGGTGGAACGTTTAAACAAATAGAGATGTGGCTCCCTTGTTTTTGGCTGAGTGTTATGTTGGGTCAGTTTCTATGCCTTGAGATGCGGGTTCCCTTTCTTGAAGTTGATACTTTTCTCGGGGTTGAAGAGCAGCCAATCGGGTTCAAAGTGTAGCAGCTTCTCAACTAAAGCCACAAGTCGATTCGCAGAGAGGTGCCACTTTGAAGATTGATCCTTCATTTTTGGAAGGAAGCAACACGAATCATCAACCTGGGGTGAATTCAGCCGGAGTCGACATTACACATCTCCGCTGCGGCGGCTTTGCTCTTTGGATGAACGATTGCAACCACGAGTCCAAATCCTTGATGAATGGGTGAGATATGTGCTCGTGCTATCTCACCCATGCGTGAATTAGAGATGGTAGTTCAAGCCAGTCTCATACTCAGGCAAGTCTTGCGGAGGCATAAGGTGTTTTCAACTCCACCCAGATTTGTACCTGGACGGGGACCCACGACCTGCTCCTGAAAGAAGCATTCCAATATTGCGGGTTGATTTGGGTGTTTCTCAAAATCACGGACCCCTCCAGGTTTCTTGTTGGCTTTTTTTTAAGTCTTCCCTTGAAGGGGGTATGATGGGAAGCTCCCATTTGGTTCACCTGTAGCAGCTGGCGCCCGAATATGCCATGCATTCCAAAAAGCCTCGCCTTGGTGGTTCTTTGACCGAAATCGGCGAAGTCTTGCGCCGTTTTTCCTTCTTGAATTCCCCCGCGTTTTGCGGTGGGTCGCTTTGGCTTCTGTGGGGCTTCTTGAGACTCGCCGTGTTTGGGGGCGATTTGGGAAGCGGTGAAATCAGCGTCCATGGCGACCGAATGAGGTGACTTGAGGAGCAGGCTTACCCCCAGGATACTCTAGTCACTTTTGTAGCTGATCGCCTGGCGTCATGTTTTCTTTTGGTGTGTTCTAAGGGGCCAGGAAAAGTGACCTTTCGCAACGGGGCTTCCCTTGTTAAGATGCACATCCTAGGGCGCCCAAATAGACTGGGACCCCATTTCGGCTGATGGAACCCATTCGTGCTAGGGATCCAAATTCTATTTTTGGAGGCAACATATGGATGCTTCCTTAGAGGACGCTTCACCATTGAACAAGAAAGATAATGATGTCTCTCTCCCTCTCTCACTCTTTTTTTCGGGTCCCCACCTTGTTGCGTTTTAGGCAGGGTGATATCCATTTTGCTTCCCCCGTGCCATGGACACCCAAAAATCAATACCCTAGAATCTCTAGAAAGAAGGAGGTGGCAAGACGCCCAAGTGTTCACCATGCCTTTCTTCTTTTTTCTTGGAGGCGTCCTTTCAACACCCACCCCTTACCCGGTTCCCGCGCCCTCCGCGCCCCCCTCCAATCTCCAGTCCGTGCCCGCGGTGGTCTTCCTGCCCAACGGCTTGTCCCCGGAGCAGAAGCTGCCAGCCGCCGGGTCTCCCGGTTTCGGAGCGGTTTCGGAAGCCGCGAGCCAGATGGCTGTGGTTGTCAAAACCGTTTCGGGATCCACCACCCATTTTAGAACCTATTTGGGTGTGGCTCAAAATTAAACAGGAGGGGTTACGCGGGTTTTGGTCCATGCTTCCACTCACCAGGGTTCCATTTTCGGTACCGGTTTTTTGAGCCACAGCCAGTTTAGTGGGGAACACCAATGGTACCATGTTGGGGTGGGTGAATTCACCACCCATTTTAGTCGGGATTTTAGTGGTTGGATTGGGATGTTCACTGGGGGTACGGGATTTTGACTCATGGCCAGATGGACGTGCTTTGGGCCAATCCCCCAGAAAGAGCCCTGGGCTTCTTATTGTGAAGGGAGCAGAAAGGGTTTTTCCGTGGGACCGCATTGGCCAGAAGGACACTCTTGGGGGCGTGATTGCCAGGCCCTTCTGGTATTGGAAGGGGGGGGGTTTGAAACACTTGGAACTTGGGAACACGGACACTTGGGAACACTTGGAAACTTGGGTCACGTTGGAAACACTTGGGAACACTTTAAAACACTTGGACACTTGGGGCACTTGGAATACTTGGGACACTGGAAACACTACGGAAACAAGAAGGAAAGTCACCTGCAATTGGTGAAACAAGTAAACTCTGTCTCAAAATGGCGGACACGCCAACTATGGTTGCTTTGTTTTGGATCCCTTTGGTACAATTCCAAAAAGGGTGCCCGGAACAAAATACAAGCCCATGTCTTGGGCAGTTCCTGTCCGTTTCACCGAGCGGCCCCTCGCTTCGAGGTGTTGCATCTGCCGGGTCATTTGGCGGGCGCCTTGCGGGACCGGCAATAGAGCCAGAGACCCCAAACCTCCCATTCTTTTGCCACACCAAGGCATCGCCTTGGTGCATCATTGAGTCCGTAAGCAGGTTTCTTCATGAGGGCTCCTATGTATGGTGGATAACCCATTTCTGACCAAGGGAGTCAGAAACTGATGGGTGAGCGCTCGCTTTAGTCCATGAGACCCCACATCCCAGAGGAATCTGCTTGGGGAAAGGATTGTCGGGGTTCCACACTAAAGCCCGGGGGTTCAAGCCGATGATTTGGAACACTTCCAGGTGGGATACACCAGGATGTTCGGCGAAAACTGCCTCACTGGACATGGGGACGAGCTCTACATCTCTCCGTGCGGGGAAGCAAGTCATTCCCACCATGTTGCTCACATACAACACTGTAACACCAGGCAAAGTAGAAAGAGCGCACCGATTGGGGGATGAAGGTTCCTCACTTCAGAGCTGTTTGAGCTGGAGAGTAGTTCATGTCCTCTTATGGAAGCTGACAAAGTTCGCGTTGTAGGTGAGAGGGTTGGTTTGCCATTCCAATCTCCATGTCAGGATGTTGCAAAAGGGGCCTGGCCCCAGCTTTAGTGGACTCCAGCCTCAAATCCCTTATTGGTTTGTGGGCTCCCTACCCAAAAAATGTCAAAGCACGATGGTTCCCTTGTTTCAAACGCATTTTCTCCCGCCCCGAAAAGAGAAGACCGGGTATTGCAGGATCCAGATGAGCCCCGCCGGCGCGCTTGAGATCCAAGTTGACCATGGGCTCTTGGCCGGCTCGTGCTGAAGACTCGCAAATATCGAAGCTTGAGACGCCAAACTCGAGACGCAAAACTCGAGAGAGATTTCGTTGCAATTATTATGAGCTTCTTCTTCTTCTTCTTGATTGCCAGGCAGAAGCTTTCCCTTGGCCTCGCGCAGCAAGGCAAGGACTTGTCCAGTTGGTGCGAGTTTGACGGGCCACAACAACTCACAGCTCCGAAAGATGACGCATTGAACGTACACATGGGGTCATCAATTTGTGAGCAGGCAAAGTCTAAAAATCCAGTTTCGGATTTAACATCCTGTTCCAAGCTTTTTGGGATTTGGCCATTTTCGGCATGCCAATATAGTAGACCATCCAGTTTTCTCCTCGAAATCCGCCTTCCACAGGCTACGTGGTCCTCAGCTTCGACCCCATCTCGCAGGCAGAGAGGGGGGGGGCAGTCGGTGTCGGTCATCGGAGTGGGCGAGTGTGATCAGCCCAGCGGGCTTTTCGTTTTCTCCCGGTTTTGGGAGATTTTCTTTTTCGGTTGATCAAAAGGTCCCGGATGACCATGCGGGAAAACGCACGAAAAAGGATGAGATGTTTCCCACTAAAGGGGACACGTTAACCATGGACATTTGGGGGCCATGAAGATTGATCAACCCCAGTTTAGTTGAGGAGACCCTCTAGTCAGCTTGCCTAGGGCTTTGTCCGATGGACAAGGGGGTCAATCGGGGACCAACAGACTAGGCAGATATGAGGAAGTCCTGGGAGGATCCACAGGAGGGGGGGACACCCTCCTGAATGGTTGGTGCACATAAATTCCGACGATGTCCACCAAAGAGTTCCCAACTTACCCAGAAACGGCATGAAACAATCCAAAAAAGCGCGGAACACCCGCTTTTCTAGGACACCGTTCCTTTTTTTCCATGTTGAGAAGGACCCAGGATAGGTTCTCCACAGCCCCGGCTCGGGTCTTCCGACTGGGCCGACCGGGCCGACACCAGGGTGAGCGGCTCCAGTACGGCGCCAGGGGCGTGTCCCTGGAGCACCTGGGCGGATGTTTTATATAGGGGGTCCATCCATTGGATTGCGGCCTTATGGGGGTCCATCCCTAGGCGCCTTCCATCCACCTCTATGGTCTGGGGGTCCATCCATCTCCGGCGTTTTTCACCCATCCACCTCTATGGGGGTCTTTCGAACTGAACTGGTCGCGGAAATGTCGGTGGTGTGCAAACGTGGGTGTTTGCCATGCTTTGTCGGGGCTGCCCTTTTTCACAGAAAAATCACCATGGGGGTCTAGGTCCCTATTCCACCCAAGTTCACCCAGATCTCGCAAGAACTGGGGCTGGATGTGACTGGGGTTTGTTGTCAACCTGATCAGCCGACGTGGGTTCAATCATGAAAGATGGGGTAATTGGCGGCATCTTTGGGGTTGGCCTCCTGGAGCAAATGCCAACGGCCCACAAAAGGCAAAGGGTTGCGTTTACAGGGGCAATCACCCTACTGCGGTTGTTTGCGTCATTCAGCTTTGACCAAATTTCACTCATACATTCTCGAACAAACACGAGTTTCATTCGGTTTGTTTATGCTTCTAAACAAATTCAGCCGGTCGGATGCGCGTCAAATACAGATTGTGACCAGGACAAAGATGCTCACTTGGGGCTGCCAGCCGCGACTGGACATCTTTCGGGGTCGTTGCCATTCGGCCGTACGCCCGGAATTCCGGCCTCCACGTCCCAAGATCCAAAGGACCAACAGAAACCAAGAGAGAACAACACAAGCACCAAAGAACCAAATAATCACCAAGAATCCACCAAGAATCCACCAAGAATCAAACAAGAATCAAACAAGAACCAACGGGGGCTCTTTCTTTGGACAGAGGTTCCCTCTTTTTGCGAGGTGTCGTGCCAGCCAGCAAAGTTCCGGTGCCCCGGGCCCCGGGCTTGGCGGATCGGGGATGGATGGCAGTTCCCCTGTGGGTGGGTTCCCCCCCCCCAGAAGCCACACTCTCCCATTCCTTTCCGCTTGAAGTGCGTATGTTAAACGGCACCATGAGAGGCTCACAGAGGGGTGCATGAGAGGCTCCTTGACGGAATTTTCAAGATGGCACCGGGGGGGGTGGGGGGGCATAGAGTGCTATCAGGATACAAAGCGAACTGGGCCTTCGAACTTCCAGTCTGAACCAACCGTCGGGCATGTCGAACACAAAAAGCGCCGCCTGATTGCGAGGATTCGGCGCGCCTGGATAAATAGGAATCCAGTAGGGGAACCCAGGATCAAGCCCCTGTTGCATTTTGTTCTGGTGCCTTTTTAGAGTTGCACGCCGTTTGTTTTACGCTTGGGAACACCCCCCGCTCGAAAGATCCACAATGTGGATAAATCCAACATTGGTTGTGCATGACAGTTGTGGCAAAGGATCAATCGAACGGGCGGCTTGTTTCGAGCCGCCAAGACCCTATTGTGGCTGGTGGGTGGGTTCTGCTGCCTGGTTTCACCAGAGAGTCACTATTTTGGGAAACTGAGTGGCTACGGAGTTTGGGGGCGCTTCGGCGGGAAGTGGCACATCAACTACGAACAAAGTAGCCTCGCACGAACATGGACCCCACAAAGTTCCTTTAAGAAAAACGCAGAAATCTTCCAGATGGCAACTTTTAGGTGGGAGGGCAACACACGAAGGTCGGGATTGCCAAAGTCATGGATCGATGGCTCTGCTCGCTGACTTGTTTGTGCGCACAAGGGGCTCAAGCGGGGGAATGCGGAACCACGCTGCTCGCCCTGACAGGCCGCTTGGATGCATTGCGATTCCGCCCGCATTGCGAGTTCGCTGACGCTTTTTGCAGGTCAGCTTGGATTGGTTGGCGCAGTGATGGCCTTGAGAGGGGTCTTCCGACCCTATCATTGCTGGCGGATTTGGTTTTGTATGGCTGTTGGCTGTGTCCATGTTTGCAAGAAGTGAGATGGAGCACAGCTCCCTGGTTGATTCTTGGGGCTTCTGGAGCCAAGGAGGTTGTGTCGCCTGTTTCTTGTGCTGGGAAAGGGGGGGGCACCTCCAAAATGGTGACTTTCCTTTTGTTTTTTCTTTAAACCACCCCAAAACAGGGTTCCCTCAAAATACAGAAGCCTATTTTTTGCTTCCTCCTCTTCTTCTTCTTCTTCTTCTTCTTCTTCTATTCTTGTTTTTTCTTCGTCTTCGTCTTCTTCTTGATCGCTCTGCTGAAGTCATGGCCATGTCTTTTTCATGTTTGTGGGAGTTAAAAAGACAAAGGCACTTTGGGTTTCTGAGTGCAGCTTCTGCAATGAGGTACCTCGTGCTCTGACCAGTAGTATACATGCTGCTTGGATTGATCAGTGGATCGTTTTTTTTCTTTTCCCCCCCCCCCCGAAACATCGAATAGATCCTTTGTGATGGAGCATTGCTTTTGATCGGGGCTGGACCAAGCCCCTTGTTTAAGATCATAACGCCACTTATTTTTGAGCAACTCTCGTTCAGTTTTGCTTTGAAGGCGACCATTTATTTTTTCAAAAGCCGCCCAAGCCGTGCGCTAAGGATACATTTCCATATCTCTAAGTCTGCAGAACCCTCCCGGACTGCGACGCGTCCGTTGATGCGCCTTGGACTGAAAGCCGTGGGCTTTGTCAGTAGATCGTTAGGATGGGTGACTCACGGGTAGCGTGTGTGTGTGTCAAAATGTTTGGACCACACAGTGATTGCTTTCCTTCTAGTTTCCTTCAAACCAAACCAACATTACACCGCCAAAAAACCCCGCATTGCTTAGAGGAAACGGCATTGACATTGGTGAACCTGGGCAAAGATTTGCCACCAAAGACCAATCAAAAGTGCCTGGATGAGAACACCTCGTTCTACCAGATACCAACTTTCTACCCTTCCAGGGATTTGGGGGCTCTGATAGGGGAGATTTGGCGGTACTCCACCGAGTGAAAACGACCAGATTGTCAAGCTGAATTCTTCCCCGCAACCATCAGCCACTGATTCGCTGGTTTGGATCAGATGTGCCATCAAAAAAACATATTTTCCTTGTAATTGGTGGAGGACGACCCACGATTTGGTCGTTTTGCCCATGGCACATGTTACGATGATTTCTACAGTTGGTTTGGGGAGTCCACAATTAGCTTCCCGCCAAAAAGCTCTCCAGGTTGGTTCCTTTTTGGTTTCGCTTCAAGACGGCCGCTCCGGCGCCTCATGGATTTCCCTGGCCGGGGCCTGGCTGTGGGTCAAAACCATTTTGGCTGGTAGGTGAATTCACCACA